CAACCCCCCCCCCCCCCCCCCCCCCCCAGGGTTGATGATCCTTGGTAGAGAAATCTATTTTCTCTTATCCATTTCATTTGCATCTTCTAACTCCTGTTCAGTCTTTGGCCTAATTCTGTTTTCTCAAAAAAGGAGCAGAGGGATGTGTCCGTATGGACAGCTACCCTCCCTGATTAAAGCACAGTGAGCCTCTTCCAGCAGGCCTGGAGGGATCAGAGAGCCGACGCATGGACAAGGGGGACACCAGCAGAGAGACCCCATGCAGGAAGAAAGGCCCAGCTGACAGCCAGAGCTGGCCAGGAACTCCAGGAAGCAGGAGGTTGAAGCAGAGGGCTAGGAGAACGGCTGGGCGCCTGCCAGTTAAAGGAGGTGCTCCAAAGACCCTCATAAAAAGGGCAGCTGGACAAGCCCCCCAAAGGCAACCCATGCTAGGAAGAGTTTTTCGGCTTGCAGAGGCTTCCCCAGAGCTCTGCCTCACCCTCTCTGGCTTCCGGCCCCCGGCTCTTCCAGGGAAGGAGGGGCTCAAGGCCAGAGAGCAGCCGAGATGGGCTGCCCTCCCTCCCACAGCAGCCACTTCTTTCCACCGGAAGCAAGCAGTCCGATTTCACCTATTTAGCAGCCTAATCAGAGATTTCGCAAGGATTTCTCACCCTTGGCTGCTGGGTTGGGAATGGCTGTTTTTGGCACTGAGCTCCTAGCCTGAAGGAAGGCCCAGGGACCCTCCCATGCCAAGCAGAGCAGGAGCGAGGGGGTTTCTGGCATAACGCATCCCACAGGCCCTTGGAGCTGGGCTGTGCCTGGGACGGCCCTTGGGAGCGGCTTCCAGAGGGAGGCCGTTGCGGGCTGCCACCTTCCCAGACCCCCCATTGGCCGTGGGGCGCCTGTCAGGCTCTGCTTCCTGCTGATCCAACGCCTCACCCTGCCCGGCCGATTCCTGGCCTGTGAGAGGGACCCTCAAGAGCCCCCAGAGAGCTCCGGAGTGGCCCTTCCGGCCTGCAGCCTCGGCCCCCAGCAGAGGGGCTCACCTCTCACCAGGCCTTTGCCTGATGTACGTGGCAGGTTGGATCCATGGCCGCAGCAGGTTTTTTTAAATACACAAAATGAAATTAAAGGGCTAAAGGGAAGCATGGAAGCTAAACCCATTTCTGCCTTTTGATGGAAAGATCAGCTGAAAGGCTTGGCTCTTCCCAGCAGCTCTGCTTCCCAATCAAGGGACCCCAGGCAGGAACTGCCCCCCCCCCCCCGGCCTTGCCTCGCCCCCTACAGAGCCTGGAAGCAGCCCGGCTGAAGGGGGCTCAGAGCCCCCCGGTGCCTCTCCGGACGCTCTGGCGCTCCAGAAGAGGTTGCAGGGTTACTCTTAACCAGGGATGACCAGGCTGCCCCCTCCCTCAGCACCGAGGGGGGCATGGGCGGGGTCCTCCCGGTCCTTCCACATCAACTGGATGGTGCCAACCGGTTGATAGACACACGTCTGTCGTTTTTCAGCTTTAAAAATCAATTAATCTGCATGTTAATTAAAGCCAAGCTGGCAGGAGGAGGAGGGAAAGAAGAGGGAAGGAGGGAGCGAGGCGCAGAGGGCGGGCGGATGGCGGGATGGCAAACTCATTGGCACAGTGCCATCCAGTCAGTGACAACGCCACACTTGCGTGTGATAGCAAGAGTGGCTGGGCAGAGGAGCTCTGCCTCCTGCATCCAGCCCAAAGGAAGCTGCCCAGGGAGGCTCCTCCGAGCAGGTAGCCCTGGGCACAGGAAGACGCTCTCGGCCTTCCTCTCCGCTCCTGAGAGCCCATCCGTGGCACCATCAGGTCCCCCACCACCACCATCCCCACCCTCCTCTTCAGCATCCTGTGCGGTGGAGTCAGCACAAGAGAAGACAAAGGCTGCCATCTCTGCCCCCTCGGGAACGGCAGGGGGGGAGCAGCAGCAGCCCTGCCCGTTTGCCTCTCCAGCCGCGTTGGGGCGCCTGGGCACCAGTTGCAGTGGGCAAAATGCCAGCAGCTGCCTTCCTCAGAGCTTTCAATCTGGCACTAAAGAGACAAAGAACCCAAATTTGCACCAAGGCAGCCGACGTGGATGGAAAACTAACTCTCAGGTGTGGCTCTTTCTCTGATGACGACAATCAGCCAACCGTCTAGCAGGAAAAAGGCCGCCGTGCCCACAAGGAAAGACAAGGAAAGAAAGCTGGCCCTGGGCTCCTCGGAGGAAAAGGGCTTTGGGCGAAGGACGTTGCTCAGATTGGCAGGAGCGCCAGCGTGGACACGGGGGGGGGGGGCACGAAGAAGACACGCGGAAGAGGTAGGGACAAGACAGGCTCGGCCGCTGCGTCCCCCCCCCCATGCGTTTGGAAGAGGAGGGAGGGGTTTCCATGGGAGAAGGGCTGCCTGTACGGAGGGATGGCTGCCTGTGACTCCTTTTCATCCACGCCGGGGAGATTTTAAAAGGGCTCCCACCCACCCTGCAGCGTCTGCCAGGCAAGGCTCTTGCCAGGGAGAGCGATGGGGCTCCAGCAAGGCCAGTGCGACCTCCTCCATGAAGGGGAGGAAGAAGGCTGTTCAAATCTGCCCCAGGAAAAAGGCAGAGCGAAATGGAAAGGGGAGGCCCAGCCCCACCCATGGCGAGGTTTCTGAGGACACCCGCTCAATCGGGCCGCTTGTGCTGCTATCAAAC